ACGTTTGCTGTGTTTCTGTCAGGGCTGGTTTTAATGCTGATGGTTTTGTCAACTCTGAGTTTCTGTCACCACTTTTTGCTTCTACTCTGACTCAGTCATCGATGACTCACTCACCCATCAAGCTGCACATCTGTGTCCATCAGATCCGTTTCTTCTCACTTTTCTCCTTTTTCTCAATTTGATTTTGAATTTTAATTTATTCAACTTATTACAATAACTTATAAGAAGACGGGCTAACTTTGTAGTGAGTTCTACTCTGTTTGGTTTTTAACAGAAGGAGCTTACTGCTGCTGTGTTATAGTGACATGTGGACTCACTTTTGTCCATTTAATTTAGTTTTACGTAGATTCACTAAAGAAAATCTAATCTGATTCAGTTGGACAACAAAGATCTGTCTCTGTCCTGCACAGATGTTTTCTCTTTTTGTCCCAACATCTCTTTGTTTTCATGTTCTGTAATACCGTATCATAATTACACACAGTCACGTTATATCTATATATAACACGTGTATATATCTATTTATGTTAGATAGTTTCGAGTATTTATGTGAAAGGAACGTAAGAACTGTGTGGCTCGATGTTTATTTTTTTCTCTGTTCATATTTGGATAATTTGGTTTTGAATCAGTAATATTTTGTTGTAAACTTTTAAAGTGGTCCTGGTTCAATATTTCAGGTTTTTCAAAGTAGTTTTTTTTAACAATAGCTATGTTTTCACCCATTTGACCTACCTTTTGGTTGTTCAAGGTTCTGTCATTCACATCAATCAACCTTTATTTATACAGGTAAATCCCATTGAGCCTCGAGGACTCACATGTGGTACATGAGATGGAATGAAATTATGTACACAGGGTCCCAGTTACATCCAACAGTAAAATGTAAAAGAAAAACAGTAATAAGATCTAAGATATGAACCAAGAAAAACACCAACTAAAAATAAGCTAAACATTAGTAGCATAAAAACAATAAACACAATACACCGAACAGCAGCACGAACATGAGTCTGTGTGAACAGATGAGCACGCATGAACACAGCAACATGAAACGGATCAGCAGCAACATGAAACATATCAGCAGCAACATGAAACAGATCAGCAGTAACATGATATGGTTTTTCACAGTGATTAATCTAGTTAGAGATTCATGAGTCTAACAGCCTCAGGGCAGAAGCTGTTCCTCAGTCTAGTGGTTTTACACTTAATGCTCCTCAACCTCCTTCCTGAGGGGAGCGGGGCAAAAAGTGTGTGGGCTGGGTGAGTGGGGTCCTTCATGATGCAGGTGGCCCTCTTCCTGCATCTGGAGGTGTAGATGTCTGTGATGGTGGAGGCTGACTCCAATTTGATCCTTACAGTGGATGATGAAGGACGATGCATCTTTGAGACTGAAAGATTTTCAGATATTTTTTATCCTTGTTTTCAGGCTGCTCACTTTTTCTTCTGTTCCTCCTCTTCCTCACTTTCCTCATTTTTTTAAGCAAACTGCATATGTTCTCACAGTCTGCTACAAATACTGGAGCAAAAGAACCTTCAGGATACCTGAAAAAGTATTGATCAAGATTACTTTTAGTGATTAAAAGAAAGTTATTGGAAAGAGATTGTAGGTGGTTTATAAATTCTTACAGACTGGGTTTTATTAATATTTATAATTCTGCGTTGTTATTTTTGTCTGCCATAGGGTGATGTCCCCCAGGGGCTCCAGCATGTTTTACTCCCTGTCCCGCTACAGCCGCTACATCTCCATCCTGGACGTGGACGAGAGGACCCTGCGCTGCCCATCTTACCGTGGCCAGCTGCTCGCCAACGTGGCCGACCACCGCACCTTCATCCGCCGCGGCTCCACCTACTTCCTTCACATCCAGAGCACGCTCTGTCGCCTCGCCGCCAAGGCTTTCCTGCTCACCTTCACCCACCACCTCCACCTGCCCGTCAGCCCCACGGAGGGGCTCGAAGTGGTGGAGGCCAGACGCCGCTCCTTCTTGCAGGAGCAGCTGGGGCTGGACAAGGAGGACAGCCAGATCCTGCTGTACCTCAGCCGGCTCATCACTGAGCAGTACCTGCAGGCCGCAGACAGCGGCCGCTTTAGTTTTAACTACACCAGCAGCGATTTATACAAAATCTGATGTTCTGGGAGGATCGTTTCCCACATTCCAGCAGAAATCATCAGTGAAACTTTTGGTTTTTATCCAACCAAAGTGATCCTACTGCACTGATTCTTATTTAATCTCCCTTTTGCTCTGCTGCATTTTGAGAGGAGGAGCCGGCGTGTTCAGAGCGTCTCTGAGAGGTTTACTCGTTTGTATTTGAGCCTCAGCTTGTTGACACATTAATCAGAGCACATGAAGATCGGCTCAGCTTGTCGTCCTTTGAATCAGCTCTGGGTTTTTTTTTTTTGTACTTTCATGGAAATGGGGAAAGAAAAAAACCCTCTGATTCTCAGAGTTCAGCCTTTTCTCTCCTCCACACTCTCAGAAGTGCAGCGCCGTGACCATCTGTGTGTCCTGGTTTAACTTCCTAACAGGTTCAGTCTCTGCGATGTGTCAGCACCTCGCGGTTCGTCAGCTTCGCCCCAAGTTCTCCACGTTTGCCAGTATCGCTGTAAAACACACGGATGCTGTCACCTCCTGCACGTAAGAACAGACGTCTGTCCGTGAAACTCGATTAACTCAACACCGCAGCCGCTTTCATGATGAAGAAACTCCTTTCCATCTGGTAAAACCTTTTCCTCCCCACGCTCGGTAGCTCTTTTCAGTTTTAGCACATTCCTGCAGAAACAAATGTCCTTTTTGTTCCAAACAGCAGCACAGTAAGCATTCCTGAGCCCTAAAGGAAACGCTCTCAGGCGGATTTCGAGTCGTGCTGCATGAGAAACGTGTGAACTTCATCCCGTCGGTCTCGTGGGATGCTGCCTGCAGAAATAATCACGTTGCGTCCATGTTGGGACCAGTATCCGTCCGTCACTGCTGATGGACGTCTCCACTGCTATCAGTCAGGATTTTAACGCTATTTAATGTAAATGTACTGGATTACACTGTTGTCTTGAAGTTGTGTGAGTGTTGTGTCAGCATGAAGCAGTCTCGTGCCAGAGTGGTCTCTGTGTCGGTAATATTTAAGCTCAGTCATGAAGATGCGGAGGCAGTTACTTTTTTTAAAGCTTATTATTAAAATAGTTTATTTTCTGTGCCGTTCGAAGATTAAATTAATTTAAAGGTACTCATTGCAGTCTAAAGTAAAACACGAAAAGTTTACCCTGGGCTCACATGGTGCAGTTTTAAAGTAGTTTTCCAGATTCACTAATAGGAAATATGTGGGAACTCAAGTTGTGATTGACCCACAGCCGGCTGGACAAAGTCTCGTGATTTCCAGAAAAACTGTGAAAATCCACCTGGTGTCGAGAGTATTTCAATTAAGATCATTTTAAAAGCCTATCGGCTATATTTGTTCGACAAATCTGTACAAATATTTCCAAAGTGTCTGACTTCTCAATCTTAAACGGTTCCTCCATAGATGTTGCCATTGTTGACCTGTTTTCAGTCACTTCGTCTGTTTCTGTAGGTAACTGTTAAGTTTGTTTAGACTTTGTCACAAATTTTTCATTTTAGGACACACTAACCATCAGTGAATGTGTGGGTTTTGTCTTTTAGTGAATTTATTTCGACCGGTCTTCATGGCTTTGTGATGAGTACCTTTAAGACCGTTGCCTAAGCTTCATCTTATGATCATTTTATCCTGAACTTAATCCTCCCTCCACCTCCCCGAACCGTCGGTATGACTTATTCTGCCATGGTTTGCTGCGTTTCCTCTTGAGACTTGAGTTCAGCAAAGATCTGGCAAAATAACTCGTTCTACTCGTTTCTACAGCAGCAGGGAGGCGACAAACTTGTTTTACAGCAAATGAATCTCCTTTGAACGGGTTACGCTCACGTGTCAAACTTAAGGTTTGTGGAACACATCCTGACTTTTTCAAATTATTTTATATATTTTAAATGCTTTAGAACCGGCCGGCTGATCAGTGATGATTCAGGCTCTTATCAGTTTTTCAAAAACTGAGCGTACTCGGTGAAAACTTGCTGCAGTCGGCCAACTTTAGAGCCGAGGAAGTCGCACACTGATTTCTCAGTTTTCGGCTTTTGTCAGGTTTGAGTCGATGTGCATCAAACTAAAGAAGTTTGTCTAAATTTACAGTTGTAATTTTTTTAAACCGTGTTTTCTTGCAACTTTAAAGCAAACGTATTTTAAGATTTCCATTGAATAGTTTTTTTTCTGCTGATTTGATGGATTGTGTTAAAATATTTCACTAAAACTGAAAAACAATTGATAAAAATTGATAAAAAGCAAGAAATAAGTGCCACTTTTTTTTATTATATATATATTTGTCCCTGTTAATTAATTAGCTGATTATTTTAAATATTTATTTTTGTCTTAGATTAAAAACGGTATTTCTGTATAAATTTTGCATAGTGACTAAAAACTAAGCTCTACATTCAACAAACACTGGCTGGTTTTAATGTGGCGCCCTGTAATCGTTGATTTTGACGCCCCTGCTCCAGAATAGAAGTAAAATAAAATCACTCCAAACTTTCAGGGAACGTTTAACAAGAACATTTTTTAAAACAAGCTGTAAAGACAGAACCTGATCAAACTGTCTCGGTTCTTTCAGACACATTTTTATTGAATTGTTGTGAATGTGGAGGATTCTCCACCAGTCAGTGTATTTAGTCGCCCCATCGCCACCCCAGAGGTTTAGGGTAGTTTCAAAAGTACTTTCTTCTGCCAGGGCTGTTTTCTGGAGTAAACTTCTGCCTTTTGGCCCTGGTTCCTCCAGCAGAAATACAGATTTATAAACTTTTTCTGGATATGTGTTGTGAACAAACCCCTATGTGTTATTTTACTGAATTAGAAAGAATTCCTGTTTGGACACCTAGAAGAGTTTTCACTCCTGATTGAGTGAAATAAAGAAGAAGCTTCTCTTTTAAACTTAATCTCTGTTGCTGTAGGATACTCTCACGAGTTTTATTGTGAAAGGTCAACCAAACAGATTGTGGCTGCAGTCTTTCACATCACAAACCATGCTTTTAACCACTCTGTGAATATTGTTGCAGCATGTGATGCCTTTTTCTTTGAAGTGTCCGTTTGCTCAAGCAAGAAGCTGAATGTAATCTGAAAAAGCCATGCCGCTGTGTGCTTAACATGTCACCCAGTGTCCTTATGTTGCCATGTTGTGTCTGTCTTCAGCCCTGCAGGATGTGTCGGTGATTTAAAAAGTTTTAATAAAGCACGATGTGAATGTCCTGACGCCTTCATGTCTTCTTGTTCACAGTTCCTCTCTGCAGCTCCTCCCCGCCTCGTGTGACTTGCTTCATCCTGAGGTGTCATGAATAATAAATGCTCATCTGAACACGTCCTATCGCCCTGCTGGAGAAATGTTTGATGGGAAAGCAAGTGTGCAACAATATGATGGAGCGTTGTGCAATGTAAACAAGGTCGCTTTGAGATGGTTAAATCTGAACAGGATGGTCCATATTTGATAACTTTTGTGATTAGATTAGATCATCAGCTGCTCTGCAGGAGACATTTGATCACTTTGTTAAATTGAAGAAAATCAGTGTTCGATTATATTGTGGGAGAAATATTTGTTGAGGCTTGTAACTCAAAAAAATAGAAATGATTTTTGTCATTTGAGAAAAATAGTCCTGTTTGCTTCAACAACCCTGGAAACTTTTACTTTCCTTAGAAGGAGGCAAACTTGTCATCTTTTTCTTTACAAGTGGTCCGGCTTTCTCTAGGTTTTTAGATTTCATTTTAATTTTTTCTTTCGATATATTCAATTTTTTTCTCCCTAAACGTTATCAAGCTTGGGAGGAAAAAAAAAACAATTCATCCCCAAAAAAATTTCAGCTCCACAAATTTAACTTATGGGGCAAAAAAAAAAAAGTAGTACACAACAAAACGCACCAAAAAAAAAGTCTCGACTTGTTTGGAGAAAAACCGAATATGTGATTTGAACCAGAGTTAGAAGTTTACATACACTCGTGAGCATAAAGGTCGTATTAATTTATTTGACTTGTTCTTTGGCACAAACCCAACTATCAAGCAAAATTCACATTTCAAGTTTTTGAATTTAAAGTGAACTGGAGAGATTTAATGATAGTCCTTCATTCATTCATCCACTTTGTGCAGCGTGTCAGTACCATAACATGATACTTCTACCACCATGCCTGACAGCTGGAACAATGTTTAGGTTTGAAAATCTCACCTGGACTCTCGTTTTTGTCTCTTCTGACAATAAAACTTGTCCTAAAATTTTTGTCTTGCCCATGTGGACAGCTGCAAATTTCAGTCGAGCTTGAAGGTGCAGGAGCTTTTCTTGGTTGGCCTCCTCTCGAATGTACAGGTCCTTAAAAAATTAGCATATTGTGATAAAGGTCATTATTTTCCATAATGTAATGATAAAAATGAAACTTTCATATATTTCAGATTCATTGCACACCAACTGAAATATTTCAGGTCTTTAATTGTTTTAATACTGATGATTATGGCATACAGCTCATGAAAACCCAAAATGCCTGTCCCAAAAAATTAGCATATCATGAAAAGGTTCTCTAAACAAGCTATTAACCTAACCATCTGAATCAACGACGTAACTCTAAACAGCTGCAAAAGATTCCTGAGGCTTTTAAAAACTCCCAGCCTTGTTCATTACTCAAAACCGCAATCATGGTTAAGACTGCCGACCTGACTGCTGTCCAGAAGGCCATCATTGACACCCTCAAGCAAGAGGGTAAGACACAGAAAGAAATTGCTGAACGAATAGGCTGTTCCCAGAGTGCTGTATCAAGACACCTCAGTGGGAAGTCTGTGGGAAGGGAAAAGTGTGGCAGAAAACGCTGCACAACGAGAAGAGGTGACCGGACCCTGAGGAGGATTGTGGAGAAGGGCCGATTCCAGACCTTGGGGGAACTGCGGAAGCAGTGGACTGAGTCTGGAGTAGAAACATCCAGAGCCACCGTGCACAGGCGTGTGCAGGAAATGGGCTACAGGTGCCGCATTCCCCAGGTCAAGCCACTCTTGAACCAGAAACAGCGGCAGAAGCGCCTGACCTGGGCTACAGAGAAGCAGCACTGGACTGTTGCTCAGTGGTCCAAAGTACTTTTTTGGATGAAAACAAATTTTGCATGTCATTCGGAAATCAAGGTGCCAGAGTCTGGAGGAAGACTGGGGAGAAGGAAATGCCAAAATGCCAGAAGTCCAGTGTGAAGCACCCACAGTCAGTGATGGTCTGGGGTGTCATGTCATCTGCTGGTGTTGGTCCACTGTGTTTTATCAAGGGCAGGGTCAATGCAGCTATCAGGAGATTTTGGAGCACTTCATGCTTCCATCTGCTGAAAAGCTTTATGGAGATGAAGATTTCATTTTTCAGCACGACCTGGCACCTGCTCACAGTGCCAAAACCACTGGTAAATGGTTTAGTGACCATGGTATTACTGTGCTCAATTGGCCTGCCAACTCTCCTGACCTGAACCCCATAGAGAACCTGTGGGATATTGTGAAGAGAAAGTTGAGAGACGCAAGACCCAACACTCTGGATGAGCTTAAGGCCGCTATCGAAGCATCCTGGATCTCCATAACACCTCAGCAGTGCCACAGGCTGATTGCCTCCATGCCACGCCGCATTGAAGCAGTCATTCATGCAAAAGGATTCCCGACCAAGTATTGAGTGCATAACTGAACATGATTATTTGAAGGTTGGTGTTTTTTTTATTAAAAACACTTGTCTTTCATTGGTGGGATGAAATATGCAAATTTTTTGGGACAGGCATTTTGGGTTTTCATGAGCTGTATGCCATAATCATCAGTATTAAATCAATTAAAGACCTGAAATATTTCAGTTGGTGTGCAATGAATCTGAAATATATGAGTTTCATTTTTATCATTACATTATGGAAAATAATGACCTTTATCACAATATGCTAATTTTTTGAGAAGGACCTGTAATCCTGATTTCAGTGTGGCCAGGGACACTGGTGCTCCAGCAGTTTAGTTCTCTGTAGGCCTTGGTGGTTCATGAACATCAGAAACTGTTTCATCTCCTTACATCTTCACTGAGTTTGATGGATCCTCTTGTTACTTTTATTTTTGTTAATTTTCTGACCTTTTTTTAATTCTGGCAAAGGAAAAGCACTAGTAGCTGCAGTCAGTCATTTCACTAACGAGAAATTAAGCCTTTGTAGGACTTTCAGCTCCACTTACATAAAGATTTATTGGAGCTTGTATTTATTCCTTGAGATTGTGTGGATTAGAGAAAATCCACATTAAATTCAAACTTGTGCACCGTATTATTTTGTAATTATGAAATTGTTTGTGGGACAGTATACTCATTCCAACCTAGAAAAACAATATATATTTTTTTTATCAAAATCCAAAATTTATTACATTTATGCTCATGATGAAACTAGAACTTAGTGACTGAAAACTGAAAATCAGAAAAAGCACGTTTACGTTTTTTTTTTTCTTTCTGCAAACATATAAACTAACAAGATTACCGGTATTAGGAACGTTCTGAAAATCTAAAACTAGGCATTTATTCGATTCAAAAGCAGTCACTTACTGAGGATTATTACATAATTTTACACATTTGTAATTAGTAAAAATCAAGAACTGAAGCATAGATTTGGAAAAAGACAGTTGTGCCGCAATAATTGTAAACAAACACAGTTGTGCCGCAATAATTGTAAACAAACATTTCTGATAACTTTGTGAGTTTTGATCTTTTTATTCACTTGGTCAGTATACTTTTTTTTTTTACTTTTTTCAGAGCTGAATTTATAACAAACTATTTCCAGTTCTGTCATAAAACCAAACAACAGATCATATTTTACTCAACAAAAACCAGGCAAGATGACACATGCATCTGAAATGTTTTATTCAAAATCCTAATCAGGTTGGTAGCATTATGATTTAAAGCAGTAATGTAAAAAAAAAAAATCCTTTCCAATAAACAAAAAGACATCATCAGAACTGACCTTGACGGTGGGAATAACAAGCTGGAATGACAGATCTGACTCAAACATTTATCTTCCTGCTTTAAACTCTTAATTGTTGAAGAAAAACTAACCAACATGGTCTCAGTTGTTTACTCCCCGTTGTTCTAATGTCTTTAAACATAAAATATTTAAAAAAAGTTGATCCCCTTTAAAGACAGCTGAGGATGGTGATAACTGAGTGTTTCAGATGCAGATGAAGGAAATTAAAAATTCTTCAGGGTTATTAGAGTGAAGGCAGGATGAGTCCTGATGTAAAACAGAAAAACAATGAGTCCAAAAACTTCCGTCTAGCCAGAACATCCTCTGCATCCACAGTGAGTGCATTCAATGATCCTTCCCTGTAGAGGGCAGACGTTCAAAGACTCATTAATAGTGTAGACTCAATCTGAAAAGGTTAATCCAGTGTATTAAGTGAAAACTGATGAAGCTCGGTCAAACTTACAACTTCCAACTTGCTTTTAGGGACTCTGCAAATGCAGTTTGTTCCAAAGTTGGTGTCTCGTGTTTGAATGCATCGCAAGCAGCACAGGTTCTCGTAGCCCTGCTTCTTCCACTTGGCAATCAGGTTCTTGTCTGCGTAGCCTTCTTTTATACAGTAATCATATAATTCTGCCAGGGAAAAAGTAACAATAATAATGATAAAGCACTGATCAGACATTTATTTACAACAATTTGGCAGAACAGGTTTTAAGTACAAAAGTTTAAAATACATGAAAGTCATTAAATTTTGTGACTTAAAATTCCTTTGTTGATAAATAAGAGCTGGAAATGTTCAAAATAATGCTAATCGTGTGCTAATTGCTGAATTTATGTAGAGTTCAGCTTCATATGTCAAAGCTAAATGCTACTTATTTACAGAAATTAAACTTTACACAGATCTAAAATTGAAACCTGATGAATGAAACGACAAAGAGTGGGAAGTTGTTCACCTACCTCTGCTTATGGCTTTTCTCTTGTAGAAGAGGTCGAAGATGTATCGACTGCGCTGATGGTGGAGCCTGAAAATGGGCCAGAGAGATTCCACCTTTCGCTTTCCTTCGTGAGGCTCCGTTTCAGCTGAGACACAAAAAGAAATAGTAAAAATAGTTAGACAATGTTGTGATGTGCAGCCATACAGACAGAAATGTCGCAACATATGTTGAACAAACCAGTGGTACGGTGAGGCTGTGAATTCAAGAGTAAGATGGGATCTACTGGGTTTCTGCTGAGATTTTTTATCCTGTTTACTTGAATTTGATCAGTAATTAATTAAGTAAGTTGACCTTCCTTTTCAAATCTGTTGTTACACGGAGGGAAAACAAATCTCTGCGGACGTATTAAATAATCACTAATCTATTTTTTTAAGAACACAGTGTATGAGAATACAATCGTGTCGTTTCGGACATTTTTTTGTCCAACAAAGAAAAACTAGAGACAAGATCACAACGCAAGCAATGATTAGCACCATTTGTATAACACTAAACAATTTGAAACCTCGTCTTGTTTCTCTAGAATCAGTCGTGCTATTTGGGTATTAGAAAAAAAATGGATACATCGATGAACGCTTTTCATCCCTACGCATAGCGTGTAGAAATATTCGGATACAAACAAATCTACCTTCTCTCATTTTCTGATCCAACTCGTCCAAAGTGGGCTCAATGAGTTCCCATCCGTCAGGAGGCGGTTTTCGGCTCCTCTTTACTTTAGGCATTTTGTCTGTTTTGTACAAAATTCAACAAAAGCTTCTAGTGTTTTCGATCTTGTCAAGAGAGCCACTTTCCGTCGAGTGAGTTTGACGTCACCACGTGGGGGCCTAAATTGCAATCTGTAGTCATAGATATAAACACTAGATCCCTCGTTGGCTGCTGCGGCGCAGGATTTTCGGCCGCCATCTTGAAACGGTCGTCCTTATTTGGTTAAAGCAGAAGTTTCAGCACTTCGCAGCTTATTTCTGTTCAGATCGACGGACTGTTGACGTCAGGTCTTGGGGGATAACTTTTCACAAGTAAGATGAACATAGTATTGTTAGTATTTTGTGAATATAATATTACTGTACTGTATTTATGTCCACCAGCTGATGTGATGTTCAGTGTAACACGGTGTTCAGATGCAATGAAGCTGACTGAGATCTGATGACAGGAATATTTTTCTAACAAACGTACTCACTATTTCTGTAGCTTTGGTTCATTATCAACTGATATGTATCATAATTGGAGTTTTGTTTAAGTTCTAGGAAATAAAAAAATAAAACTAGGGAGAATATAGGAAATAGAAAATAAGCTTGACCTCCTCTGTACAATGTTTTTGTGTAGACACAAATCTCCCGTTTTCATTTTGAAGGTTTCCCAAAGAACAAGATGTGAGGAAGAGGAGGAAGTATCTTTGAGGAGGATTCATCTGAGCAATGAGGATTTTAAACTGGAGGATTTTGATCAAACTGATCAGACTGTTCGACTGAGAGATGGTGTGGTACCATCGGTTCACCTTCAAAGAGTAGGTGCATCATTATAAGTTCATTAGAGTTCATAAAGTTACATATTTTATTGTCAGTCACAAGGTGAGACACCTCCATGTGTTTATATGAACAGGTAACTAGAGACTGTAAAGTTCATATTCATGATGTTTTTTCATTTCAGCTTGAAAACTGCAGGACTACAGGAACTCAACAAAAGCTGGAGCTGCTCTGTCTGTGGCCTCTCAGGAACGTGCACGTTTCACACACAACCTCAGGAACGTGCACGTTTCACACACACTCTCAGGAATGTGCACGTCACACACACAACCTCGGCCTAATGATGTGAGTATTTCTATTTTAAACTTTTATTTTTTCATTTAGCCTTTATTTATCCAGGTAGTCTCACTGAGTCAAGAGAACTCATTTTAAAGAGAGACCTGTTTAGGAGCAGATGGTGGGGGTTGAGTGCCTTGCTCAGGGGACCAGGGTGGGGCCAATGAGGGTGGAGGCAGGTGTGGGTGTTTCACCTTTTCCACCTCATTTTGATGTTGATGGTACCGGGAGTTGAATCTGCGACTTTCCGATCACAGGCCCATCTTCTAACCTCTGCTCCACCACTCCCCCACATAACATCATATCATACTGGTCATATTAAAATCTCACTGGTTTCCTTCCAGATGTGTTAAACTGGTCCCCCTGATGTTTCCAGGTGTCTGTGGTCAGTGGATGAAAAGCCTGGCATGAACAAGATGATGGTGGAGATCATCATTTGACGAGAGCTCCCACCTTCTAACTGTGAAGAACAGCAGCAGCTCAGTGATTCCCTCAAGGCTCAGTGAAGGAGCTGAGAGCTGCAGAGAGGCTGATCCATGGAGCTTCAACACAGCAACCTCCAAACATGTCCACCCTCACACACATCGTCCATGAAGACACTGGACCAGAGCACAAGATAATAAGAC